AAAGGATTTAATTTTAAACGAGTTCTTGCCAACTGACCAGTTTTACCTATTCAGTACGACATACATATAATCTTTCACCCCCTTTCTACCTTTTCCTTCACTTCCCCTCCTCTCCTTTTGTCTCACGTTATTCTCCTTTCCCTTCAGCTTCTCTAATCCTACTCTTCCTTCATCCGTCCCGCCCTCCATTTCCTTCCTTTCTTCCTAGCCTCCTTACCTCCTCTTCCTCTTCTGTAGCCCCATTTCCCTACCTGCCCTATTCGTATTTTCCTTCTGTACTTTCTGTTATTCCTTTCCTTCACCTCCCCTCCACAACATATCTCTCCCTCTCATCTGTCCCATGTACATTCCTTTCTCTGGTGTCACCCACGCACAAATGTGTTCATGTCTGACCCTCTTTACATCAACCTGCTATGTGCAACATCTGGGAGTTCCTGAACCATGACCTTGCCTGCAAGACCATACTCACCTCTTTTTTTTCATGAATCCAACTAGCGTACTACTGACAATATTGAAGGAAAGACACGCTGCAGGACAAGTCTATTAGAACATTACGCTCTGTTACAGCTCTATGAACTCAAAGATTTGAGCTCTTAACAGAGCAAAACGTTAATGACTTTAGCTCAAGAGCGAAATAATCCGCACTGAAATACTGTTCCTCAACATGTCTCCTTTTCTTCAGAGTTTTTCATCTCATATTTTGTGTTAACTTAGCACATTTATGAATCAGAAAAATGACGTTTGAGAGTAGCTTCAGGTGTGATCAGAGTGGGTGTTGCTCCGTCGCGAGGAGCGGGACAGAGGACCTCCCACTTGTTTTATTAAAACTCAACACATTCCTCTTAAAAAAACAATAAGTGCGCCTTTATATCGTGGAAAAAAAAAACTTTTTACTGTTAAAACTTTCTCGCCTGTGCCATTTTGAGTGTGTAATTTAGGTGTCTGTGGAGAAAGCGTCGACCACGTCACTAAGGTAACTTTGTGATAAAAAAAAATATCACTTATTCGTCTTTCTTAATAAAAAAAATCGAAAAAAAGTGACATGAAGTTTTGTATTAGCTTAGATGGAAAAAAAATGAAGTTTTATGAGCGGTTTGTTCCAGGAAGGCGCAGCTCTGAAGAACCGCTATTGCGTACGCTGCTGCAAGTAATTATTCTGCACTGTATTCGTACCACTTTGTAAGGTGTGACAACAACAACAGGTGTTGAAGAGTCGCATAAACATGTACATAAATATATAAATATACAAGTGAGTTACGTTATGATATTTACATTGTGTAGAGAATTGTTTTCTCACTTTTAATGTTTTCTCGCCCGTTTGTTTCAAGCACTCACTGTCGACGCTCAGTTAAAGACTCACTGTCGACGCTCAGTTAAAGACTCACTGTCGACGCTCAGTTAAAGACTCACTGTCGACGCTCAGTTAAAGACTCACTGTCGACGCTCAGTTAAAGACTCACTGTCGACGCTCAGTTAAAGACTCACTGTCGACGCTCAGTTAAAGACTCACTGTCGACGCTCAGTTAAAGACTCACTGTCGACGCTCAGTTAAAGACTCACTGTCGACGCTCAGTTAAAGACTCACTGTCGACGCTCAGTTAAAGATTCACTGTCGACGCTAGGTTAAAGACTCACTGTCGACGCTCAGTTAAAGACTCACTGTCGACGCTCAGCTAAAGACTCACTGTCGACGCTCAGTTAAAGACTCACTGTCGACGCTCAGTTAAAGATTCACTGTCGACGCTAGGTTAAAGACTCACTGTCGACGCTCAGTTAAAGACTCACTGTCGACGCTCAGCTAAAGACTCACTGTCGACGCTCAGTTAAAGACTCACTGTCGACGCTCAGCTAAAGACTCACTGTCGACGCTCAGTTAAAGACTCACTGTCGACGCTCAGCTAAAGACTCACCACCGACGCTCAGTTAAAGACTCACTACCGATGCTCAGCTAAAGACTCACCACCGACGCTCAGTTAAAGACTCATCACCGACGCTCAGTTAAAGACTCACCACCGACGCTCAGTTAAAGACTCACCACCGACGCTCAGTTAAAGACTCACCACCGACGCTCAGTTAAAGACTCACTCCCGACGCTCAGTTAAAGACTCACCACCGCCGCTCAGAACTTTTCAAAAGCCCTCCCTTCATATACAAGGGAAGTTACCAACAAACCGCTGGCTATCTTCAGGAGGGAACTTCCTAAGTGCTTCCTCCAGTCACTTCCTGATAACCCGGGTTCTGGTACCTGTATGGACTGCGTGTTGCCACACCAACAGCCTCACTGATCAGGACGTACGCCAGGAGTCTTGGTTTGGGAACGAGCCGCGGGGGCGATAATTAACAAGAAATGGTAGATGCTCAGTGGAGATTTCCCTCCGACGCTCTATTACGAGGGCAAATGGAGAAGTCTTTGCGTCCATTATCTTTTCCTGACAAAATAAATTTAACTTATCCATATTAAATATTGTTCACTGGTTATTTCTCGCTATATATCACCAGGCCTACTGAGACACTTATTCCAGTTACCGGGTTTTTTTATATCTTCCGTAGTGAATTCTGTCCGCCGATTACGTAACCATTCAACGAACAACTGTATTCACTTCATCTGCGTGGAAACGCTGTCCTCCCGGGAGCTGGGGACATGATCGGAGCTTTAATTGCATTTTTTGTCAGGAAAAAAGCAATGGACCCAAGGACTTTTCGATCTGCCCTCGTATTAGCTCCCCCGCAGGTCTCCTTGCTTGGGTCAGATTTTTCGTTTTGGAAATCTCTCTGTACAATATACATTACGTATAATAATCAAGGGAGATATATTAGTATTGAGTGTGCTGGCGGGGTAGTTAAGACCTATGCTACATCTGGCTGTGCAACCTATCCTCCTGATCAAATTGGTTGGAATTAAAATTGGGGTGTAAATACCAACAAGAAGTAAATGGCACTTTAATGAAGTGGATACCTGTACTAGTAACGCTTCACACCCACAGTAGATTCATCATGTCTCGATGAAACCTGAGTGTGTAAAAA